CAGCCTCTAGGAAATGGGTACCAGAGCTGACACTTTGGGGTAAATGGAGGAACATCGCTGTAGCTACAGAGTTACGTGCGGACGGCGACACAGGCGGACAATTCTTATTAGCTGTCCGTACTGGTACTAGAGCACTTAAGGTTTATAACCGTGTGCAATGACGCTGGTTCACACCTCCCGACTTTACCTTTACCTTTACGGTCCATGGTATTTTAACCTCATGAATGTGCCTCGATATACGCATCATTTATATCTCACTTGCGCATATCTTTATATCGTAGCAGAGGCTGCCCTCAACGTCTTCAATTCATCTATAAATCACCATAGAGGATGTCTTCATGGACTCTGCCCTCCTCCATTCTCCAGGTACGACCCCTCACCTGAGCCTTCGTAGAGTAAGCTTTGAGAAAACTGTTGTAGTACCTGCTCTTTCCAATATATAAGTGTTTGTGATCTTGCCCTCCTCTTAATGCCAAGTATTCTTCTTAGGCATCGCATGTTAGAACCATTTAGCCGTCACTCTTGGCGCGAAAAAGGTGACCAATTTTTACAGCGACCAAAAAAAAAAAAAAAAGAGTGTTGAGAATACAAGTTTGATAAACAAGAGTTTTACCAGTATCATTAGCATCAGCATTATCAACATCACTATCCTCAGTACCGCCCTCATCATCATCATTGCAATAATTCTTGTCATTATCAACAGTACAGACTGCCCAAAGACACAGCACAACAGTAATGGTAGGACCGAGAATAAGTCTTTATAAAAGAGAGCAATTGTGTCAACTATCTTTTCTGGGATTCCCTACTGAAATATTCTCCAGAAACTGTCTCTGTGGACGCTGTCAAAAAACTTTCTGTGATAGAATAAACCTTTTTCCACGCCTTCAGGCGAATTGGGCATATAGGGCTAGACGTACATTTTATAGACCAACGGCACTCGGTGGACATCATGCCGGCCGCCTCTACTTCCCAGGAATTTACCCGTTAAGGATGTGTCGACCTGGAAGCCAATGACATTTTTTAAAGAACCTGAACCCATGACCTTCGGAGCCGCAGGCGAGCGCCTTGCCACTACACCACTGCTCGCTTCCGTGAAAGAGCAGGGATTAATCAATATAAAATTGTAGAAGTAAGTTGCACTTGGTATATCTGTATATCTACACATAAAATAAAGAAATTTCAGTGGAAAATGAAATATAATTTTATGAATTAATTTGCTAAAGAAGGAAGTATCAACTGACTCCCTCTGTTTGTGTTCGGAACTGTGCAAATTCCCTACAGAGTAAAAATTCCGATCAAAGACTTCAATCTATGGTTGCATATGTCCAAACATGTGGACTTTTTTAGATGTAAAGCTTCTCCCTGAAGAGCAATGCAAACCAACTGCAAATATCAGAAACAACAACGAAAATTGATGCACAACAGTATAAACATTACCGCTAAAAACCATAAACAGCGAGTCGGGAAAGCGTAGTTGCATAGCAAACAATGCACAATGATAACAAGACGCACATGATATAATAAGGACAAATTAATTATTTTAGGAATAATTTTATACATAATATTTAAAAAATAAACAAAACTATGAATAATAACATGAATGTAAAATAATATTGATAGTAATATGAATAACAATGAATAATACAATCTGCGCTGTCTGAATTCGAAGCAATTTTTTTTTTTTTTTTTTTTTTTTAAGATTGCACATTTCAGATTTCTTTTCTTTTTTTTTTTAATTATAGAATTTCAATTCTGAAATATGATTTAGACCAGCGGTTCTTAACCTGTTGGTCGTGACCCTTTTGGGGGTCGAACGACCCTTTCAAAAGAGTGGCCTAAGACGATCGGAAAACACATATTCACTGAAGTTATGAAGTAGCAACGAAAAAAATTTTATGGTTGGGGGTTACCACAACATGAGGAAGTGTATTAAGGGGTCGCGACATTAGGAAGGTTGAGAACCACTGAGTTAGACGATGCTATGAGGAAAATAAAGCAATGTAAAACTTCAGAGCCGTAAGATTGTCAACTAAAGGTAGGAGATTCCCTTATAGTTTAGACCAGTGTTCCCAAAGTTTTCGCTAACGCCCCTAGCGAGTGCTTGAAAGGTCCAGGGGGCGGTATCTGCCTCAATCTAATCTGAAGTGACGCTGGAGAGGCTGAGGGGGCGGTAGACGCCTTAGATGCAGTTAGGGTTATTAAAAAAGAAAAAGCTAGTGAAGTCGAAAAAAAGAACATTTTAATAAACTGTTCTTATTTATTTCAGTAGTGTGTAGAAGAATAAATTCGTAGTTCTTACTTAATTTTCACAATTACAAAATATTAGTATTACCCTTCCGATTAATCTTTCGCATTAACATTAGTTTAAATGTTGCTCTTAGTTGTTGTTTTAATTTCACCTTTCCCACACTTTCCCCGCTGAATGTCGTTAGCGTCCTTTTGATATTTTCTCCAGGTCATACTGGTCTGTTGAGAAACGAGCAGGCAGATAGACCAGTCGGTTCTGAGCCACTTTGTAGTGAATTGATGTATGTATGACAAGCTAAATTTGCCAGGGCCCTTTGGGAGCAAGTGAACAGTGCGGAGGCACAAAGCGTGGAGTTATCAGGGGAACTGGCCGATGCTCAACACTCACGGGAAGGGCGATGTATCTTAATGTATGGTATACTGACTTCCTGTACGTGTAACTGATGTTAAGGATAACTCCAAGGAATATAAGGGTATCTTTCTGAAATATTGCTTGATTTTATAAAATTGTGGGTAATCTTTTTTTGTACTGTGAGAAAGAATGGGCTGCTGCTATGAGAATTATATCTTTTACTCCTAAACCCCAATTCATTGTAGAGTTCTCTACAAACTAATTGGCCCTTGAAGTAGCTAGGATGCTTCTGAGAGTGAATATCAGTATTTCTCAAATTGGGGCTACAGCTCCACCCCCAACTCCCCGTTGGCGCTGGGACAGACCAGAGCCGTAGCTGCCTTGACCAAATATTGGGGGCGCTGAAATGGCCGAGGGGGACTGTAAGAGCCTGGGGTGCAGATAAGGCGCTGAATAAAAATAAGGCACCGATGAGGCTTATAGAAAAAGAGAAGAAAAGTTTGGTGACAAATAACATAGTTGTTAAAAAGAGGAGCGGCTAGCTCAAAGGATTAAGGATATAAGGCTGTCGTGCGGGAGACCCAGGCTGAAATCCTAGGTAAGGTAGGTAGGACTCGTTTTCTGTTAGCGGCAAAAGAAAAATCCTAACTTACACAGATAGTGGCAACAGCACTCTCTATGCGACGCTAAATTCTCAGTCTCACAGACTCTGTAGCTTCAGCGAAAATCCATGAGAATCTTCAGGAATAACGACGGGGGGGGGGGGGGGGTGGGATGCCCTTGTGAACTGAACGTGGCGTACCTGAAAAGCACCCACAACCTTCAAAATGGGATCCACAAAATGTGTCCACTTTTCCATGGAAACGGGATCTCTTACTAGCTTTTACGGCATGCATTTTGAGGGGTGAAATTGGAGGGGATGTCTGTATGGTCTATTCTTTATTCTTTATGATTTTTTTTTAAAGGACCCCAGCGGACAGAGGAGGGGCTGAGAGAAGTTAAATCCCTCTAGAACTGCACGCTGAGCGATTAACACCAGCAGACTAACGTTTCTATTACCCAGTAATCATTTGATAGTATGCGACAGAAACATCAATTAAAAAAAAAAAACACACACACATACACACACAAATTCAGAATGCCTGAGTAAAGCCAAGGCTGACTGAAAATACACAAAAAGTTAAGTAGATAACTCTACAAATGAAAATAAACACAGGTAAGTCATTGACACTTTATCTTTATCAATAGTAGAAATCAATAGTTGAAAACAGCTGGGGACAGACATCGATGGCATGAAAACGATGACATTTAAGCTGATTTGTCCACGCCTTGCGTCGCATTGGGCATATAGGGCCAGACCTATATTTAATAGAGTTATCGGTACTCGGTGGGTGATGGCGTCATCATCACCCTGACCGCCTTTACTTCACAGGTCTATACCTGTACCCATTCAAGGCTCGGCTGGCTTAGGAGCTAAGGTCATTTCTGACAAAAGTCTGGCATCGTCATGACCCGAACCCACGACCTTCCTATCGACAGGCCAGCGTCTTGTCGCGAAACCATACGGCTCCTGAAGTTGATTACTGATTTAAGAATCGCCATCACAGCACACCGAGCATACCCTTAGATGCTCCGTTTCCCGCAGCAAATGTCTTATAATGTAAATGCTAACTGTTGCCGTAGTATACTGATTATATTGTCGTTCTCTTCTCATACGTCTCTACTTGCCAGATCCACTCCGAATTCCTCACAATCTTACACTTGTGATTTCATTTACCCTCTTGTCTTTAGCATTCGTTCATAAATAGCCTTCAGCGTGTCTCCGTAGCTATTGCTCAAACACCCCCCCCCCCCCCACCCTCCACCCCACCCCCTTTTTTCCCTAAATCCTGAAACATTTTTTTTTTTCACTATATTCTTTTTTTTCTTTTAATTTTTATGCAAAGGAAGACATTAGGTGAACATAAACTAGGAAGCCTTTCTAACAAGACACAATAGATACTTTTGTTCTATGTCTGATAAGCGGATTTGACACTGGGTTGGGGGGGGGGGGAGGCGGGGGTCATGTTTTTGAAGCCACTGAGATCATGAGCTTAAACAGGTAGACGGAAACAGCTTAGAAGAGGTTTGCCAGCTGGTCTAACTTAAAGTATGAGAGAGAGACAGAGAGAGAGAGAGGGGGAGCGAGAGAGAGAAAGAGAGAGAGAGAGAGAGAGAGAGAGAGAGAGAGAGAGAGAGAGAGAGAGAGAGAGAGAGAGAGAGAAATGTTAATATGTGTTAATGATATTTCAAAAATACACAATATCAAAATGCATTAAGGTGCACAATATTGTATCGATGAAAGGTCGAATCGACTTGAAGAATTTAAAACAAAGACAACCACTAGTAACACAAATCTTACCTGCATGTATTTTACAAGTTTACACATGGCATCTCCCGCTAACCATTGCACTGTGACGGCCCAAGCTGCCTCCCCAGCCGTACAAAAGAATGTGACTAGTAGATCAGCCAGCGCTAGATTAACAATCAGCGTGTTAATTGTACTTTTCCTCCGCCTGAGTCGCCGCATCTGTATCAAAGTGGCAACATTGCCCACTAAAGAAATAACAAACATGGTTCCAAAGAAGACAATCTTTGTGAGGCTGGTACTGGAGAAAGTTGGGGCATCTAGCAACGTCACATTCGATGTATTACTGAACAAGCTGGTATCCAGGCTAGAGATGTTATCACCACTATTATCAGCTAATGTAATATTCTTGCAGTTTTCAATACTGAAATAAGTCCGCTCGTTGAATACTTTTGAGGCTGTTGAATTATACCGATAGTTATTGACATTGTTTGCGTTAATGACAATGTTTACTAAGTCAAAACGGTGGGCTTCCACTGGTGGCCAGGAATTCGGAAGTATTTCTTTTATACTGGCCACCTGTTTGAAGTTACTATCCAGCACTGCCATTGGCTTGACTCTGCTAGTTCACTTCTGCATTTTCTCATAAACCAAAGTTTCATGGACGTTTGACTTCTTGTGTGGGTGGATGATGTATGCGAAATCTCATATTATACGCATAAATAATTAATAAGCAAGATTAAAGATCACGTGTAATCCTGAAATAATAATAATTATGGGGCTAAAATTAGGATCAGGGAGAATAATAGTGAGATTTCCTAGCATGCATTCACATCCATGTTCTTTTGTTCTCTTTAGTGTTTAAATTTTTGGTTCCTAATTTTAGCTTAAAACAATAAGGGTCGTCTAATACACAGGATGTGTTATATACATAAAAATACAGTACACAGGTATACTGGGCACGTCCTGGGGAGGAGCAAGGCAGAGAATCACCAAAGAGGATTTGGAATTTGCACACACACAACAACAACAACAACAACAACAAAAAGAAAGAAAGAAAGAAAATTGTGGAAACAAGGAGGTCTAAGAAGTTTGAAGTTTCAAAGTTTCAACAACGGATCAACATCATGACACACGGGTAGTAACAAATAAGGGCTCCATTCTTTTTCTAACTCAAGTCTGAGTCCGAAGAAGCTCAGCACAGTGCACAGGCTCTGTAGCACCGGCTAGGATCCTGAAATACGTTGGATAGATTTTTAACTCTAAATTTTGCCTGGGCAGCGCCGTTAGGCTACTCTTTTCGATTTCCATATGCTTACGGATTCTTTATGTGCCTAACAATGCACACGGGCGTCCTATCTCACTACCCAGAGACCTGGGAGAATTACTATAAGTCTAAGTCCAAATCTCAGCCCTTACTGGGAATTGAACCTGGAACCTCTAGCACTAGAGGCGGACACCGCGTCCTGTGACCAGCCCCCCCCCCCCCCCCCCCTAACCCCCTCCCCCCCCCCCCCCCCTTAAACGTCCAAGAAAAACTCCGTGAAAAACTTTGCGAGAAGCTAAAGGTACTGGACTGGATTGAATCCATAATATTCACAAGATTGTTGGATAGAATAGAATGGTGGATGGATAGTTTTACTAATAGTGTTAATATGCTTCACACGATTCGTAGAGGCAGTGATGATGAGGGGCAGTAGAGGACTTCCTAAATAGCTAGTTTTACTAGCATTTTTAATTTGCTTCACGCGATTCGTAGAATTAAGATGATGTTGGCGAGGCAGTGAGGGAGACGGAGGTCTTCCTAAAAAGATAGTTTAACTAACAGTTGTAATATGTTTCACACGATTCGTATAATTAAGATGATGATGGTTAGGTTGTGGTAATGAAAAGAAATAACAGGTCTTGCGAACATATGTTTTCCGTTTATTTTGCACTGTGTGTCACGTGTGCGTGTCATGTAAATCACCATTCCTTATAAAACAGATGTGTGGAACACACACCATGTCCTGTGACCACGCAGCCCTCCCCCCCCCCCAACCCCGCCCCCTTAAACGTCCAAGAAAAACTGTTGTACTGTGTGTCACGTGTGCCCATAGACGTTATTATCATATCATACTTTCGCTTTATTTGTTAATATTGTCAGATCAATAACATATCTGTTATTACACTTCCGGGAAGACTGATGTCTAAACTCATCAACGCGCAGACTTACTTGCTAGTGAAGATGTCCCCTTGTGGAATACAATTTCTCGTTATTCTGAAGCCCCACCCCTGCTGTTGCCGGGGGCCCTAAAATAACCTAATGGTTGAACAAGGGTGATCCTCATCCGCATGGTGGCACTTTGTGTCACCGGGTGTTTATCGCTCAGTGTGATGTTCTGGTGGAGAAACGCTTACTTACTTACTTACTCTCAGACATCTGTTACTTTACCTCCATGTATCTAATGCATTTGTGGCATTAGAACCGTAAATTGCGACTTGCCAATCGACCTTGAGTACAAGTCGACTTTAAGGTTTTTATCTCACAATTCTCAGTTACGCCTTTACCTGATACATATTATTTCCCCTACGTAAATTGACCCAAGTTCTAGAAAGATGTTTTCTAGATTAGAAAACTACCTATTCGTCGCAATTTACAGCATTCAGTATTGCATCTGAGTTATTAAAATAACCTCACTGGTCGTATGTTCGAATCCCTGAAGAATAAGATCGTAAAAAACTGGATGGGCTCTAGGTCGATCTAGCGCTAAATAGGTACTGGGAAATATCATATGAGGTGCAAGTAGGCCAACATTATATCACAACAACAAAAAAATATCACACAGTGTCGCTCACATTATCTACCTGGTCGCCTATTAGCCTGCCGGTAGACGACTTCGTCGCCAGTCGGGACAGTATTTGGGTGAGTCTGCTTTGATCGCATCAACACTGCAGGATTCCTTCTCAGGGTTTTTTGTGGCGTGTAATACTAAGCTATTTTATATGATGTATATAAACTTATAAACAAACGCTCTCCCTTCGGGAATGTAGGTCTAACGTGACGATTGTCCTTCCGAGCATAGCAAGCAAGCAAGCAACAGTGCCGCTTGATCTAAATCAGGGGTTTTCAACCCTATTTCAATTGGCGCCACCGCCCCTCCCCCCCCCCCCCCTAGATTGGAAACCACTAATCTAAACAAATATAGTCGAAGTCTGTGGCTTAGGCGTTGCGTACGCGCTTTAAAATGCCGGGGTGCCGGGTTCGATCCCAGCTGTAGGCCCTGAACCTTGCGTTGGTTTCAACAGTGGTATCGAGAAGCCGACTGGTCAAGAAAGCAATGGCAAACTACTGGACGTTAATTTGCCTTAAAAAAACCACTACAGTCTAAAAATGCTGGGGTCGGTTTTGCAACGTCCTGTAAAGGATGTACTGTGTTGTCCTTTATGTGCCGATGAAGGCTAATCGCCGCAACGTCCTTTGTTTGTTTATTGTGATCGATTTTGTAAAGCTAACATAAACTAATTGTTGTTTCTTACCAACTTTTTCTCTTCCCTATAATTTTCTACTCCTTATAAAAACTGTAAAGGATACGCAACTAACTTTAAACAAATTTAGGGTTAACATCAGATGACGAACAAAAACGTCAAAATGGTGCCTCTACTTTCTATTAGCCCTCCTAGCGTTACATACTATCTCTTGCCAACATATAAGAATAAGAAGGAGGTGTGGGTAAGAAAAAGAAATACCATGACAACAATAGTAATATGCATGTTATACAACATAGTTATCGGAAAAAGGAAGCGGGGAGGGGAAAAAAGGGGGGGGGGGGGGTCGATTGCAGCGAGAATAGTAGTTTTAAAATGTTTTGTAAAACTATAATTGTTGAATGTGATACGTTGACAATAAGCAGACAGACACGCGTAAACAACTTCTTCTTCTGCGTTTATCCCAAGGTGTAACTGTGTTGTGTCCGTCTACAGCATGACTGCGATATTTGCACGTTTCTGCCAACACATCCTACTTCGACGGGCATTTGTTGACCTGGTTAGCCTTCCCGGGCGTAAACATCTAATAACAGCAGAAATGAAGTTTAAAAACAAATGCGAAAAATGTCATGAGCTGAGAGAAACAGAAAATGAGAAGCTCTACATTGAGGTGGGGAATAACAGGAATTACAGACCCAGCGAAAAAAAAAAACATGGATAGTTACGATTGTTTCCATATATATTATGGGAAAGAACAACCATTAAATCCTGGTAACCGGTAAACTTGATTCAGTGGAGGAGTGGGGGGGGGCAAAGGGGGAGAGATACCGTACTACCCTAACCAAAGCCCGTACACAACAACTTCCCGTTCTATCCTGGAACGCAATTTTTCCTTATTTTGAAGCCCCACCCCGGCCGTAGTCGGGTGACCCTAATAATCTAACGGTTGAAAGAAATTTCTGCGACTGGTGCCCGGGTGATCCTCATCCGAATGGTGGCACTTTGTGTCACCGAGTGTTGCTTGCTTGTACGGTACTGGTGGGGTTGAACGACACACACACGAACACATCCATGCTCGCGCGCGGGCACACACACACACTCACAAACGGACAAACACAATCCCCGGACTCACACACACACACACACAATCACACTCGCACTTACTTCCACAAACACGCGCACACACCCAAACATGCGCGCGCGCACACACACACACACACACGAGCGCGCGCACACACATACACACACACTAAAAACCGTGGCGTGGGCGGGACAAGACCATCATTGACTGTGCCTAATTCTACTGACTGTGTGACGCGGAAAACATAAACGTTTGCGCTTACAGTCATAATACACAACGCTGATGTCATTCCTAATTCAGGATCTGTCTTTTGGGGGTTTTTTAAGATTTAAAAAAAAAACTAGCTGTGTTTACCGCTTGATTGTGTTTTTAGCTAGTTAATGGACAGCAAAGTCAAGGACTAGGCAGGTCAGTGCTGCATAAATATCGCCACGAATTGTTCAACAAAACATCAGTTGCGAATCTTTTACAGAATGTTGCAAAAGCAACCCAGCATCCCCCCCCCCCCTGTTTTTTTAGATTTACTAGACAATGCTTAGCTCTTGTCACCAGACTTCTCTTCCGAGGTTTTGCCAGAGAGACTACCAGACTTCTTTTCCGAGGTTTTGCCAGAGAGACTACCAGACTTCTCCTCCGAGGTTTTGCCAGAGAGACTACCAGACTTCTCTTCCGAGGTTTTGCCAGAGAGACTACCAGATTTCTCTTCCTAGGTTTTGCAAGAGAGACTACTGGACTTCTCTGTAAGCGGTTTTCTTCTTATAGAACTTTCTCAACATAATTCCCTAAATGTTTACCCCTGCTCCCTTTCCCTTGTCCACAAAAGGACTTTATTTCATTCCCATTATTCCTCCGCCAGCTCTCATATCAGACGTCGGACTACATCGTTTGGATCCCATTCATGTTTTACAGTCGATGTGATTTAAATCTGCACTTTCCTGTCTGAAACTTTCAACTCGTTTCAGATGTAATGGATGTGTTCTTTTGTGGACTTTTTCGGATGAATAAAATGAATATTGACTCCGCCCGTCCTTTCCTAATGAAACAATAACTGCAGTTATCT